CAAGGAGGGGCTCCAAACCCAGTCCAGGGTGCTCTGAGGGGAAAAGACCCACCCAGTGCCAGGAAGGCACCMAGAGCTTCARCCGGGGCTTGGASYKRGWGGTTCATGAGCAGCTTCACGCTGGGGAGAAGCCCTACAAGTGCTTGGAGTGTGGGAAGAGCTTCGGCACGAGCACCATCCTGCTCCGTCACCGGCTGATCCACACTGGGGAATGGCCCTACGAGTGTGGGGAATGTGGGAAGGGCTTCAGATGCAGCTCTGAACTGATCCAGCACCAGCGCATCCATACAGGGGAGAGGCCCTATGAGTGTGGGGAATGTGGGAAGACCTTCCGTAAGAGCTCCAACCTCGTTTCCCACCAGCGGATCCACACTGGGGAGAGGCCCTACGAGTGTGGGGAATGTGGGAAGACCTTCATTCATAGCTCAAACTTCGTTTCCCACCAGCGGATCCACACCGGGGAGAGGCCCTACGAGTGTTCTGAATGTGGGAAGACGTTTAAGAGCAGCTCCAATCTCCTCCTGCACCAGCGGATTCACACGGATGAGAGACCCTTCCGCTGCCCCGACTGCGGGAAGGGCTTCAAGCAAAACTCCACCCTCGTCACCCACCGGCGCAGCCACACTGGAGAAAGGCCCCACAGCTGCTTTGAATGTGGGATGAGCTTCATCTTGAGCTCCCACCTGATCAGCCACCAACGCATCCACACAGGGGAGAGGCCCTATGAGTGTCCTGAGTGTGGGAAGAGGTTTCAGAGCAGCTCCAGTCTCCTCCTGCACCAGCGGATTCACACAGATGAGAGGCCCTTCCGCTGCCCCGACTGTGGGAAGGGCTTCAAGTACAACTCTAACCTCGTCATCCACCAGCGGATCCACACTGGGGAGAGGCCCTACGAGTGTCCTGAGTGTGGGAAGTGCTTCACCCAGAGCTCTAACTTGACCCGACACCAACGGCGCCACAAGTAAGGGAAGCCCTGTGAGTGCCCCGAGTTTAAGAAGAGCTCTGTGCGCTGCTCCAACTTCGTCCCCCATCAGAGGACCCACGTTGGGAAGAGACCTGGTGACCCACATTCCTGGTGATCCTGTTTGGTATGACACCTGGCTGGTGGTCTCCACATCCATCCTTGTAAACACCTGCATGAGTGTCATG